GTAGTGAGCCCCTGAGCTGGTGCTTCTCCCATGTCCCCTCGTGATCAGATTCAGCTCATGCGTCTTGGGCAGGAACAGCACCAAAGTGACACTGTGTTCCTCTCACTGTACCGCATCAGGTGGCACATGATTTTGGTTTGTCCCATCGCTCGTGATGTCCACTTTGATCATTTGACTAAGGGGGCGTCTGCCAGGCTTCCCCGTTGTGAACTTACTCTTTTTCCTGTTGAAATTAATAACTATTTCCCGGAGGAGGTGATTTAAAACTATGTAAATATCCCATTCTTCATCACATTTTCAATGTAGTTATTTACTTACATTAATATGGGTTCATGGTTTCCTATTTTATTCAAGGGTCTATAATCCATTATTATCATTTTTTACTTGAATGCTCAAAATTTCTCAGATTTGGCCAGTGGGAGCCCTTTTAAGCTATTGTCACTACTATAGGTTTAGGGTATGTTTAACATTTAACATTTTAATATTTTAAAAGTTTTTTATGACTTGGTAGGGCAACCCCCTCCCCCAACATTGTTATTCTTTTTCAGAATTATCTTGACTATTCTTGCCGATTTTTTATTTCTCTATTGATTTTAGAATTGATTTGTCAAATTATGTAAAAAATTCAAGTGAAATTTTGGTTAAGATTGATTTGAATTTATAGAAGAAAAAGGCAGAAAAGTAAAATATTTTCTCTAGGAACATGAAGCCTTTCTTCACCATGCAGCTTCTTTGTGAGGCCTTTATTAAAGTTGTCAAATCGTATCCATGAAGTGTGCGTATTTCTCCTTAGGGTCTTCCTAGACGGTTCATACTTTTTGCTACAGTTGTGCGTAGCATCCCCCTGAACACAAACAAATATTTTTAAGTTGGTTAGCACTAGTTTATAGGACCACTGTTTATATATGATTGTAACAGTTTCTTAGGACACATAACAAAGTAGCACACACTGGGTGGCTTTATTTTTATTTTTTTATTTTTTGAGGAAGATTAGCCCTGAGCTAACTACTGCCAGTCCTCCTCTTTTTTTTTTTTTTTTTTTTTTTGCTGAGGAAGCCTGGCCCTGAGCTAACATCTGTGCCCATCTTCCTCCACTTTATATGTGGGACGCCTACCACAGCATGGCCTGCCAAGTGGTGCCATGTCCGCACGCGGGATCTGGGCCGGCCCCCACTGCCATAGGAACTGATGTGCTCACAGTTCTGGAGGGAGAAGTCTAAAATCGGGCTGTCAGCAGGCTGTGCTTTCTCTGAAGGCTCCTGGGCAGGATCTTTTCTGTGTCCTCTTGTTACCGGACAAAAACACAGGTTCTTTACCCGCCACACAGGAGGGGCCAAATAAAAACTGGAACGCCAGGCTTATGGCAAGGAATGGGTTTTTATTTCAGGTGATATCAGCTGGGAGACGAGAGTGAGCCCTCAAATTCATCTCGTCTCCCCGAATGATGGGAGGCAAGGGTTTTAAAGGCTGCAAGGAAGGCAGCTGCTTGTAGGGAGGGGAGCCTGTGGCCTTGCAGGTCGGCGCCTTCCCACCAGCCTGCGTTTGGCCTTGGGAGGCTGCCTGCAGGACGGAGGGTGGCGAGATAAGGGAATGTGCAGGTGGATGTCCTTGGTTGTCAGCCCCCCTGGTGGATGGTGGATTCTGTGCAGGAAGCCCAGGAGTTGGGGTCTGGGAAGCTCCAGCTCCTTGATATTCTCTGGACATCAGTTTCCCTGTAACAAAACTTCAGAGGACTGTGACTAGCCAAAATGTTAGCATGAGGCCACCTGGGCTCTAAAAACTTGTAACTTCTATTTGCCTTGTGAAGTTCAGGGATGCAAAGGTTTAAAAGAACCGATATTTACATATGAATGCAACTTAGAGAAGCAGGGAAAGAGTGCTTTTGGTTTTAACCCCACGCATGTTAGGTTTAATGTAGGAGAACTGATATCAGGGCCGGTTTCACTCTTGTCGCCAGGATGTTTGGCCGACTTCAGGCAGATGTGGCTTCCTGTTTGTGCAGACTTGTTTCAACCTAGGGCCCCACCCAGCCCAAGATGCCTGTCTCGCTCTGCGGGTGGGGTCTTTTTCCTTCTGGTGTTGCTGGCAATCCTTGGCTTGTGGACACATCACTCCAGTCTCTCCCTGTCTTCGCATGGCTTCCCTTTGAGTCTGGGTCTGTGTCTCTCCTCTTCTTATAAGGACACCAGCTGTATTGGAGTGAGGGCCCACCATACTTCAGAACGACCTCATCTTAAATAATTACATCTGCAAGGACTCTATTTCCAAAGAAGGTCACATTCTGAGTTTCTGGGGAGGACATGAATTTTGGGGAGATGCTGTCCAGCCCAGTGACTATATATTTCACACTTGTTATTAAAACCTTTTTCACATCTATGGTAGAGACTACTAATTGTCCCACTCTATTTGTTCTTTTTTTCTTTTCAGTGTATAATCCCTGACTTTTAGCAAGTTACACGGCGGTCCAAAATAAAGGCTACATTTCCCAGACTCCTTTGCTGCTGGTTGTGGTCAAGTGACTAAGTCCTGGTCAGTGGGATGTGAAGATAAATGCCACACAGCAGCTTCTGGGACCCTTCCCTAAGAAGCAGCTAGTGTGATCGTTTGCCCCCTTCAACTCCTCTTCTCCCGTCTAGTTGATGGAACACAGATGTTATGACTGGCTCCATGTTGGGCCACAAGGACACAGGCGCCACACACCCTGAGGATGGCACAGCAGAAGGCTGGAAGCAGCCTGGGTCCTGAATGACTTGGAGTCATTGTCCCAGCTCTGCAGCTTACATCTGGACTTTTCTGTTTGAGATAAACGTCCATACTGGGCTGCATGCTGCACGAGCCCAGGGGCACCGCTCACACGGCAGAGGACCTGAGGGAAGACCTTGGAGTTGTGAGGTGAACAGACTGCATGGTCATCCTCAGAGGCCCTGCTTCTGTCTGGTTTAAGCCCCTGGTTTTGGAGTTTCCGTTACTTTCAGGCAATCTTAATTTTAACTAATATAATAGATTTCTGATAGTTTCTTCAATATCCAGGAGGTTTTTGTGCCTGGAGGGGAATACTCAATAGTATTGGTACTTGGCTTATTGTATAATTTATGAAAGTAATATAACTCAGAAAAATCAGTTTTCCTTGAGCATTTAAACATTATTATTAATTTGGTTAATTACTGTCACTTAAAACTTCAATGGCAGTTACAAATCTAGTATGACTGATTCTTCGAACCCTGCAGACATCTTAAATAACAGGCCAAACATACACAAATCAAATATTTCAGACTGATCGAGATTGCAGGATCCAAGTAATGTAATGACTGCTTCCTCACTGAGATGCACAAACCAAGCAGATTTAAACTGAAATCTTTGATCATTAGGCTGAGCCTCTTTTTAAATAAAAATAGCTATCCATTTGTGGCATCAGAGACTGTTAAGTTTCTCTTCGTCATAGAGATCTTAATTTTTGCAGCTTGGTGTCTTTCCAAGAATTTCTGCATTTTCTAAGTTTGCATGGCAAGTCAGAGTCATTTGGATTTCACATGGATTTTAGGATGGTTTTTCCTATTTCTGCAAAAAGTGAGGTTGAGTTGTTGATAGGGATCGCACTGAAACTGTGGGTACTTCGAGTAATGTGGACATTTCAACAATGTTAAGTTTTCCCATCCATGATCGTGAGAGGTCTCTCCATATTCGTGCCTTTAATTTCTCTCGGCAATGTTTTGCAGTTTTCCACGAATAGGTCTTTCGCCTCTTTGGTTAAGTTTACTACTAAATATTTTATTCTTTTTTATTTTATTATAAATGGGGCTGTTTTCTTAATTTCCTCATTGGAATGTTCATTGTTAGTGTCTAGAAACGCAACTGATTTTTGTATGTTGATTTGGCTTGATAATTTTTATTGCTATTTCAAGTGTGTTTCCCCTTTTCCATTTTCCGATGATTATTGTCAATATAGAAAGAAAAGTTTTCATGTCTTCATTTTGTGTTCGGCCCTTTGATTTACTCGGAGTCTTCCCCTCCCTCCCCAAATTCAAGCCTCTCGGTTTCGGAAGGTATAAAATCGTCAACAACAACGACAGGAGAAAGTGCACGTCTTCTTTTCCAAAACTTCTCTGTCTGCTTACATTCCTTAGACCTCCAGGAGCGCGTGGACTAAATGGTGACGTACACCGTCCCTGTCACATTCTCGATTTAATTGGTTTTACTATCTTGCCATTTAAATATTTCTTGCTATCTTTTTCAGAGCAATCTTTTCCTGTACTTCAGTATTTTCTGTTTTACTTAGTATTTTAACGACGGCTTCAGGCGCGGTTGGTGTGGATGGAGCAAACCGCCACCAGCAATGCTGTCTGCACTAGACAGGCTTTGAGCGCAGCCTGCGGTCTCCTTCCCGGCTTGGTGACCTCCAAATCTAGTCCTCCATCTTTCCCAGAGATTCAGCGAGACACTCAACAGCTGTTTAACAAATCTTTTTTTGTTTTAATTAGCCACAGTTGGTGTTTGTTGCTTCAGCCAAGAACACTGAATAACACAGTTCCAAGTGGGACTCTATGGGGCAACTCCACATGATAAAGTTTTACCTTATTTATTTAGACACATATTAGATAATGAGAAGGAATAGAGGCTACTTGGACCACAAAATGATCCAACTATTCTAGAATACACAGGGAATTCTCAAATAAATTCTTTTCTTGGTGATGCAGAGTAAAACTCCTTTATACTCATTTTTATGAGAGAAAGACCTGATTTCCCCTTTAAAAAGTAACCCAAGGGGCTGGCCCTGTGGCCAAGTGGTTAAGTTCGCGCGCTCCGCTGCAGGCGGCCCAGTGTTTCATTGGTTCATATCCTGGACGCAGACATGGCACTGCTCATCAAGCCACGCTGAGGCAGTGTCCCACATGCCACAGCTAGAAGGACCCACAACAAAGAATATACAACTATGTACCGGGGGGCTTTGGGGAGAAGAAGGAAAAAAAATAAAAAAATATTAAAAAAAAAAGTAACCCAAGTTTTATAGACTTGAAAATTATCTTTATTTTTTCAATTATAAAAATATAAACAGTATTTGCCCCTTATCGCAGTTTCGCTATCCACGGTTTCAGTTACCCGAGGTCAACCGACCCAAGTTTCAGATTTCCCATGGCGTCCTCTAAACCATTCAGGTTCAAGGGCTGCTGAGAGAGAAGGACAGACGTTAGGAAGCATCCACTGGTTGATTGGCAGGAAACCGTGCTGGAGGAAGGGAAGGGGAGGTGACACTGAAAACCTGGGATGAGAAAAGAACTGGGCCAAGGAGGCCTTGAGAGATACAGAAGGCTGACGACAGCCTGAGAAAGGGAGAGAAGGACGGAACCGGATGCCCCCGGCCGGAGAGCGAAAAAGGGCATGGTGGGAAAAGAGAAAGGAGTGGGGGCAGTCGGGAGAGAGCAAGGAGAGCAGTGACAGGGAAGGGGGGCTGAGGCTGGGAGGGTGGGGTCTGGGAGAGGGAGGCCAGGGGCCCGCAGCAGGGACAGCTTCTCACCTCCAGGATCTTCTGGAGCCGTCGCTTTATGCCTTTACTGTATTCTGTAAGCTTCTCCCAGCTCTGGAAAGGGTTTCCCCTGTTGTCTGCAAAGTTTTCCCAGCAGTCAGCAAACTCTGAGATGAAAGATGGGGAGCGAGTCAGGCCCCGGGGGTGGGGCAGCAGCAAGCCTGCAGTCCCCACAGGGTCCTCCTTCCTTTCCCCTCCCTTCTCCTCCTCTCCCAGGGCTTTAGTCTCTCCCTGGAATTTTCCCTCCCAGGTGGTATCACATCTTGGGCTTTGGCTGGGCCACCATCCTTCTGGTCCAGCTCCCCGCCTTCCCAGTGGCCCCCCTCAGTGGCTTTTCCCTCTTGGAACTGCAAACCCTCCCATCCACTGACAGCTCTGTCTCCCTTCCAACCTTGGTAACCCATGACAACCACGGGGATGCTGGATGCCCACAGCTGTCGCAGCCCCTGCTGATTCTGCCTGAACCAGTGGTAGTAGAGGCGGGAGACGAAGATCCGCAGGCTCAGGTTGGGGAATTTTCTGGTGAACTTAATCAGCTTGCAGGCACAGGTGGCGCAGGGGCTCCACGTGACATAGCAGGTGATTTCGTAGCTCTGGTCTTGGTCTAGGCCCAGTGAGTTGATCTTGTCAATAAAGCGAATCTCTGCATGGCGCTTTTTCTGGGGAGGGTCCCAGACAGAGAGAAAGAAGGTTAGAGGGCAGAGGCCAGAGGTCATGTACTGAGGGCGGAGTTGGGGATGAGGGGCTCTGCTGTGGACTTGGAGTATGTGAACTTGCCTAGGACAGAGAAAGAACCTCCTTCCTTCCTTCGTCATTCACTCCTTCACTCACTTCCTCATCCGTTAATTCAACACCCTCAAAGCACCTGCAGCTGGGTCCGAATCAGACCAGAGTCCGGTACGCAGAGGAGATGGGTCGGCACGCAGACGCCCCACGGCACAGTCCCGAATGCTCTGCAGACCTCGCCTTTGGGCACTTGCCCAGGAGGTTGTCTGGAGATGTTTGGACCTGGGGGTCCCAAGGAGCGGGGCAGAGCGGGAGGGAGGAGGGACGGGGCAGAGTGGGAGACAGGCGCGAAGCAGAAATGTGATGGAGGTCTGCGGCTGGAGTTAGTGCTCAGGCTGGGGAGCGCACTCGGCTTCCCCAAAGCAGCCACTGAGCTGGGGTCTGGCGGACAGTGAGCACCAACTTCTCAAACGGGCAGGAGCACTCTGCTGGGGGGACTGTCGTGCGGAGGCCCGGGATGACAGCTGGGCTGACTCAGACCCCGCTGAGCCTCAGTCTTTTCCCCTAGCGTTGGGCAGGGTTAGCCCCCACCTGCCCTGTGCTGGGAGAACCTGCTTGGCACCTTGTTTCGAAAGTAGCCTTTGGCAATCGTGGGGCCACGGAGCAGCTTCAGCTGGTAGCACACGTAGGTCTTTCTCCGGTAGTAGGGCTTGGTGACCCGGCGCTGGTTGCCAAACTGCTTTTTGAATACATCCTCACTTAGCAGATGCTGTGTGTTTCTACGCAATAGGGAGGAGAAAGCGGAGACGCAGAGCGCCTTCAGGCTCTGTCGCCTTCTGAACCCAACACCTTTGGTTCCCTTGGGCCCCTGAGGAGAGGTAAAGGAGGATCTCCTTTGTTGGCCAGGAGGACTGGGGAGGGAGGAGGTGGAGGGTGGGCTCCCCCACCGTGCCCACTGCCTCCCACCTCCAGCCTGGCAGACTGCCCTCCCCCATGCTGGAGGCCATTGCAGGCAGGATGCCTGGGCTGGATGGGGGGGGTGGGCAGAGAACTGGACACCACGTGGCCTTCCTTGGCTCACATGCCGCTGTCCAGACCCGTCTGTTCAGGTCCCAGGCATCTCAACCCGCGTCTGGTGTCAGAACCCTTCTCTTTGGGGAGTGGGGATGGAAGCTGGTACTTCCTCGAACTCTGTCCTCTGCTTGGGTGTGTGTATCACAATTTCGTCTGTACAAAGAGCACAGAGGCGGGTGAATAGGAAAAACTGTTGTCACCGAGGGTTGTGACAGAGACTTGGGGCTGCAAGACTCAGATACCTTCTCCTCCCCCTGTTATAGTCTGCAGGGTATTCATTTTGTGTCTCGCTTTTTTCTCATTTACTACTATAGTGCAAAGTGACCTGGCCCGTGTGGGCATGCAGATGCACTGGCGTCCTTTTGATAGTGCTGTTGGCCCTGCACAGGTAGGAGTAGGTGGACAGAGCCATGCCATGCTGGGGCCCTGCCGCATGTGGACATTCATGACCCAGCGGATGCCAAACGATCTGAACAAACTTCGGAGGCTTGATGGCGCCCCAGCCTGCTGTCCCTCTGGACACTTCATCTCAGGCGAATGTGACCTGGCTGACCATCAAGCCAGTCTCAGGTGACCACAACCCCTTAGGACTTGCATCTGGACACAGGAATTAAGCCACGGGTGCCATCCCTCAGGGCACAGACCAAGGGGCACAATTGATTTCCATACCTTGCTCCTGCAAGGCCAGAAATGCCTGCCCCTTATTTCCAGCCAACTCACTTGAGCAGCGGTAATTCTATCAACGAAGAACCATTTCTGACATCTGTGACGCTAGCTAACAAACCCACTAGTTTCCTCAGTGGAAACCGAGCTCTGACCCCTTTGTGCTAGTTAGTGAAAATCTCAGGTGGGTTTGGAATGTCAGGACAATTGCTGAAGAGACTGTCTCTCCACTGTGGCCTTTGATACCAGCCCGTGCTCTTACGTGAAGTTCGAGCTCCCGGTTGCGGGAACGGGCCGCCTTCAGGGTGAGGACTGGAATGGAAACACACCATTCCGAGCACACCACGGACACCACTGACTGGACTCAGGAATCTTCCTGATTTTAGCGCGGAAGTTCCCTTCTTCTGGAAAATTCCCCAGTCCTGGCAAACCCAGCCACTCAAGGCTGAAACAGTTCAAATTTTAGACAAATGCACCTTTTATTTTCTTAAAGATTGGCCCTGAGCTAACACCTGTTGCCAATCTTTTTTTTTTCTTCTCCCCAGAGACCCTCAGTACATAGCTGTGTATTTTTAGTTGTGGGTCCTTCTGGTTGTGCTATGTGGGACACCGCCTCAACGTGGCCTGATGAGTGGTGCCGTGTCCGTGCCCAGGATCCAAACCAGCAAAACCCTGGGCCACCAAAGCGGAGCGCCCGAACTTAACCCCTCAGCTGTGGGCCGGCCCCAAATGCACTATGTTAATGGCACAGACGTCGAACCTGGACCTTGAACAGCTAAAACTGTAGGTATGATGATAAAAAACAACTTGTAGGAAGAATTTAAAGACCAATTTAATTTTTCACACTTGGTAGTGTCTTTATGGGAAACAATTTCTCTTCTTGCCTTGGAGCGTTTTCCCTCCACAGAGCAGAAACGAGAACATTCTGTGCAAAATTGTGCAAGTCTTTAAAACAAAATTTGTGAATATGCGTTTAGAACTGACTCCCACAATTGTTTCCACCATCCTTGAACCTAAAGTCTACAATCGAGCATGAACAAGGAGCATCAGGAGGAGCCGGGGGCCGCGCCTATGGGCTGTGGGCAGGGATGCAGAGAGCCAGGCTGCAGGGGGCATCTGCAGAGGCAGGGCTGGGGGCCTGAGGCCCGAGCAGGCTCCACAGAGAAGGATCCAGAGAGGGAGAGAACCGAGGGCCTGGAGCCAGGAGGAGGCAGGAGGCAGAGCCGGAGGCAGAGAAGAGAGCAGGCAGCGGTGCCTGGTCCCTGCAGCCCGGCCACAGCCCCACTAGCAGGCTTGTCCCAGCCTGCCCTAGACACTGGGCGCTCCAGCTCCTGCTCCCTCTCACGAGGCTGCCCCTGGGCGTGGGAAAGCCCCTCATCTGCAGAGTCCTCCCACAGCTGTCTGCCGGGTGGACCACCCCTTCCTGCCAAAATCAGTATTGGGGTAGGGGTTATAGGGGGCCTGGAAGTTCAGGACAGGGCCTGTGGGAGGCCCTAGGGTGCCTTCTTTCCTCCTCCCAGGCAGTTGACTTACCCGTTCCCGGGAGCCTGGACATAGTCCCCGCCTTGGTAGGCTTGACCCAGGCCTCCCCTTTGTGTCGGGGCCTGGGGGTCCATTTGGTCTCCCAGGCCTTTGCTTTAGGAAAGCCGCTTATCTGAGAGTGACCTCCCTGGCTTCTGGCTGAGGCCCCACCTGCTTCCTGCTTAGGCACCAGGGGTAGGAGGGCCCTAGGGAGGCGGGTAGACTTCCTCAGCCTCCGACCCACAACCCACGTTCTCTGCCTCTCTCGGGCCCTCTCTCTTGCCAGCGCTCGCTGGTCTGTGGGGCAGGACCCAACACTGTTGCAAAGGGAAAGAGAAAGTAATGATGCCAGAGAGGGGGATGGACCAGGCCCTGGCTGAAGAGAGCAGGACAGAGGCTGGCTCCTCAGGGGAGGGGCAGGCTGGAGGCCTCTCCACTGATGACTGAGATGATCAAGAGGTGTGTCACCCACATCTGTGCCCCTCGGTGCCTCCCTCCTTGGAGGAGACACGGACGGGGGAGCATCAAAGTAGATGAGCTGCAGCAGCCAGAGAGCCCCCTGGAGTCTGCCCTAGACTCCCGGGCAGCCATGTGGACCGGGCGGAGTGGGGGTGGGGGGTAGTGAAGAGACGAGTGTCTGCTGCCACCAACAATTCACACTGAGACGGCCAAACAGGGGAAGAGCCAGCAGGTCCGTGTGGGACCCAAGACGTTCTCCACCACGATGTTATGGATGTATTCCAAAGCGAACCCCTTCCCTCTTGCTCTTCCTTCTTCTGCCTCTGCCTCTGCCTGCCCAGAATCCCACTGCGTCCGGCTGATCTCTTGCTCCCTTTTGGCTGTGCCGTGGTCCAGGCCACCCTGTCTGGAACCTCCACTGAGATCTTCCCCGGTGCCTTTGCACGGTAGTCGGCTCTGTGGCCAAACAACCAGGCGTGCACTCCTGTTTGTCCTTGAGTGCCTGAGCTGCTGTGTCTCGCACCTGATTCTCGGCCACCTTCCGTTTTCTATTCTGCTTTTTGGAAAAGCTCTGATCATCTCAATCCTCACATACCCTATCCTACTTCTCTTCTAAAATCTTCTTTAAACGGAAACTTAACTGTTAATTGTTTTTTTCGCCATCACCATCCCTAGGCTGCATCCCCCCAGAGCTTCTCTGGCAGCAATGTGGGAAGGGGATAAGGGAGGAGCGGAGTGTGGCGGGCTGATGACGGAGTGAGCGGCAAGGTGGACGATGCCAGGGCCGGCTAGGTGTGGAGTGGAAGCAGGTGTCTGTGATGAGAAGAACAGCTTTGTTTGTCCGAGTTGCCGCACAGGCATTTTGCAGTAGGACAACCCTGCCCGCATTTGGACAAGGACTGGACGTTCAGATAACGACTTGAGTTTGGGATGCCCGCCACAGTTCCTGCTGTGCTTTCGCTTTTCCCCGGGAAGCTTCTAAAACAGCCGCTTAGATTTAAGGCCATGAAGAGTTAGTGAGGTCTGCTCACTCACGACCTGGAACAGAGGACTCCAGCTCCTTGCACCTCCTGGCTTCTCGATCTGTGGGTAATAATAAACGTTGTGACTCTCCTTCCTTTGTGTGGGTGCACTGAGGCTGTGCCTTGAGTCAAAGCCACCCCTGGATTTCACTTCCCCAGAGTGGGAGCTCACAGACTGAGGGAGCCACCTGCTGACCCCGTGGGGTGGCTTGTGCCCCCTTATTTACCAATTTTAAATGACATACAGGCATACTTCATTGTATTGTGTTCTGTAGACACTGCCTTTTTTACAAATTGAAGGTTTTCGGCAATCTGGAATTGAGCAAGTCTGTGGGCTCCATTTTTCCAACAGCATTTGCTCACTTTGCGTCTCTGTGTCACGTTTCAGTAATTCTTGCAATATTTCAAACGTTTTCATAATTATTATGTTTGTTACGGTGATGTGTGATCAGTTGTCTTTGCTGATACTTTTGTAGTTGTTTTCGGGTGCCACCAACTGTACCCATATAGGATGGCGAAGTTACTTGATAATGTTCTGTGTGTCCTGCCTGCTCCCCTGCCTCTCTCCCTCTCCTCGGGCCTCCCTATTCCCTGAGATGGAACAAGAGTGAAATTAGCCAATTAATAACCCACAATGACCCCTAAGTAGTCAAGTGGAAGGAAGGGTTGCATGTCTCTCACTTTAAATCGAAAGCTGGAAATGATCAAGTCATGTAGAAAGCCAAGGCAGGCCAAAAGCGAGGCCTGTTGCACCAGTTAGGTGAGTTGTGAATGCCAAGGACAAGTTCTTGAAGGAAATGAAAAGTGCTACTCCAATGGACACACGAATGATAAGAAAGCGAAACAGCCTGATTGCTGATATGGAGAAAGTTTTAGCATCTGGATAGAAGATCAAACCAGCCACAACATTCCCTTAAGCCAAAGCCTACTCCCGAGCCAGGCCCTGACCCTCTTGAATTCTGTGAAGGCTGAGAGAGGGGAGGAAGCTGCAGGAGAAAAGTCTGAAGCCAGCAGAGGCTGGTTGAGGAGGTTTAAGGAAAGAAGTCGTCTCTGTAATGTAGAAGTGGGAGGAGAGGCAGCCAGTGCTCATGGAGAAGCTGCAGCTGGTTTCCCAGAAGATCTAGCTAAGATAATTCACGAAGGGGCTACACTTAACAACAGGTTTCCAACGTAAGATGAAACATCCTTATCTAAGAAGAAGATGCCATCAAGGACTTACATAGCTAGAGAGGAGAAGCCAACACCTGGCTTCAAAGATTCAAAGGACAGGCTGACTCTGGGTAGAGGCTGACAGCTGGTTGCTTTAAGCTGAAGCTGATGCTCACTTACCATCCCGAAAATCCTGGGGCCCTTAAGAATGATGCTAAATGTACTCTGCCTGTGCTCTATCACTGGAACAACAAAGCCTGGACGAGAGCACATGTGTTTGCAGCACAGTTTACTGCATATTTTAAGCCTACTGTTGAGAATGGCTGCTCAGAAACAAAAGACTCCTTTAAAAATACTACTGCTCGTTGACAACGCACCTGCTCACCCGAAACCTCTGATGGAGATGTTCAACGAGATTAATGTTGTCATGCCTGCTAACACGCAGCCTTTCTGCAGCCCATGGATCAAGGAGTAATTTCGACTGGCAGGTCTTATGACTTAAGAAACACATTTCATGATGCTACAGCTGCCATAGATATTGATTCCTCTGATAGATTTGGGAAAAGTAAACTGAAAACCTCTGGAAAGGATTCGCCATTCCAGATGTCATCAAGAACATTTGTGATTCGTGAGAAGAGGTCCAAATATGAGCATGAAACGGAGTGTGTGTCACCGAGCAACGTGAGTTCGCTTCTTGGTGAGTCGAAATCAAAGCCTTCACCAGGAGCAGTTGTCCCACAAAGTAAATTTTATTTGCAGCAAATAAGGAGACCGCAGTTTCCCACGCCGTGGCTCCCCAAGTAAGGGAAAGCAGGTAGTTTTGATGTGAGGTGGGGAATGAATATTCAACGTTGAAGATTTGTCGTTAGCTGTAGGGGTGGGCATAAGCTCGAGCAGGCTCCTTAGGTGTTCGTGCTTCCTGTGTGCCTAAAGGCGTGCTGTTGCTCCCTACGTGGTGGGGGTGTTACCGTGTCGATGAAGCAAAGGTCACTCTAGGGTCCTGCCTGGTTCTTCTGCATGTGGGTCAGTCTTGCAGTGCAGTCTGCAGCAGTTCAAGGTAGCTGGTGCCCCTGTCTTCTTCGTGGGACGTAATTGAAACAAAAGGGCCATTAGAGAAAGGAACATCTGCGATTCTCAGCAAGACGAGAGGAATGGGTCAGAATCCACAGCCTGTGACCTTCGGAAGAACATGATTCCAGCCCTCGTGGATGACTCTGAGGGTTTCGAGACTCCACTGGAGGCAGTAAATGCAGATGGAGGGGAAACAGCAAGAGGACTAGAATGAGAAGTGGAGCCTGAAGACGAGACTGAATTGCCGCCATCCCGTGATAAACTCTAACGGCTGAGGAGTTGCTGCTCATGGATGAGGAAGGGAAGCAGTTTTGTGAGGTGGAGTGCACTCCTGGTGAAGACGCTGTGAAGACGGCTGAAATGACAAGAAAGGATTTAGAACATTCCATGAACTTTGTTGGTAAAACGGCAGCAGAGTCGGAGAGGATCGACTCCAGTTTTGAAAGAAGTTCTTCTGTGGGTAAAATGCTGTCAAACAGCATCGCGTGCTGCAGAGCAATCGTTCATGAAAGGAAGAGTCAATCGATGCGGCAAACTTCACTGTTGTCTCGTTGCAAGGAGTTGCCACAGCCACCCAGCCTTCAGCAGCCACCACCCTGATCAGCAGGCATCAATGTCGAGGCAGGAGCCCCCACCAGCAAAAAGATTGCAACTCACTGAAGGCTCAGAGGATGGTTAACGTTTTTGAGCAATAAAGTATTTTTAAATTAAGGTATATACATTGGGGTTTTTAAAGACAGACTGCTATTGCCACTTAATAGACTCCCGTATGGTATAAATATATCTTTTTTTTTTGCTGAGGAAGATTCGCCCTGAGCTAACATCTGTGCCAACCCTCCTCTATTTTTCTTTGTGTGGGTCACTGCCAGAGCATGGCTGGTGAGTGGAGTATGTCTGTGCACAGGATGCAAACCCACAGACCCGGGCCACCGAAGCAGAGCACCCAGAACTTTAATCACTCAGCCACTGGGCCGGGCCCTAAATATAGCTTTTATATATATATAAAACTTTTATATGCACTGGGAAGCCAAAAAATTCACGTGACTCGCTTTATTGTGATATTAGGTTTTTTGTGGTGGTCTGGAAGCAAGCTTGCAACATCTCTGAGGTAGGCCGGTCTCCTTAGGTCAGGGTACCAGCTCCAGCTACTCAGCAGCGGAGAGGATGGGGCCAGGAGGCTGAGGAAGCGCTCACTTGAGAATGTCCTCAAGCTTTGTGGCCAGGAGACGAGAATTTACATTAATCTTTTTCCAAGGTCTGAATTCCCTTCCACTGTTGTGCACAAAGTTGTCCCAGCAGTATCTGAAATCTGAGATGAAGAGGGGAGGGGGCAGTCAGGGCCGTGCCTGGCGAGGCCTTTCTCTCCTATCCCTCCCCGCTCAGGGTCTGGTCTCCCTGCTAGGTGCCATCAGTCCTGCCTCAGTTTCCCAGGCTCTCCTCCCATGCACTCTCCCTGGGAGCATTCTAGGTGCCCCACCCCGTGCTAGGCACCCCCACCACAGCCCTGCCCCCAGCGCCCTTTGCTCTCACCCCAGAAGAACATGATGGCCAGCTGGGCCCCACTGCTGCACAGGCTCCGAAGGCCCTGCGCATGGTCTCGGCAATAGTAGAGGCGGGCGGCAAAGATGCTCAGCTTGACGTTCCGGTACTGCTTCAGGAAGTCGGCCACCTCCCTGGCACAGTAGAAGCAGGGGCTCCAGGATATGAACCAGGTGACACGGTAATACTCGTCAGGGGACAGCCTGACGCGGAACCAATCGAGGAAGCAGAGTTCTGCGTGGCAGCGAGTCTTGCCACAGACCTGGGAGGGAGGGAGAATCAAAGGGGACCCTCTTGGCTGCCAGAGCAGGCGGGGTGGCAGGGGCTGGGTGGAGCGGGGAGGGCGAGGGCGCAGGAGTCCCAGTGGCATGTTATTCATTGATTTAGCCCTTCTTTCCCTATCTCCCCTCTCTTCTTTGTCTATGTAATCATCCCTTCCCACGTTCACGGACTCATTCATTAATTCCAACAGCCACTCTCCCCTTCATTCATTCTACAAGCATCCTGAGCACCTGCTCCAGGCCAGGCCCCCTAGGGTCCTGGCTTGTGTCTGCTGGAGAGGGCACAGAGCTGCCCTGTCCCACAGCAGAGCCACTAGCCACACGTGTCTCCTGAGCACTTGAAAGGTGGCTCCTCTGAATTGAGATGTGTGGCGAAGACACATCTCATTTTAATGACTTAGTATGAAAAAGAATGTAAAGTATCTGACGAAGAATTTTCATATTAATTATATGTTGAAATAATATCCTAGATATGTTGCCGAATACATTCTCAATATTAATTTGATCAGTTTCTCTTAACTTTTTGAACACTGGGTGCAAGAAAAAGTTGAATGATCTATGTGACCTTGATGATGTTTCTATGGGATCACACTGTTAGAGCGCCCTCCTATCCCATCACTCCTCTCTCATCCAAACAGGTCCTGAAAAGCCTGCGGTTTCTCCTGGATGGAGAAGAAAGGGCAGGCGTGTGGTAGGAGGTGTCGCAGGAGCGGTCAGTGGTTGTCGCGGGGGCCGCGTGGTGGGGGTGGGCTCGATCTGGTAACTGCTGGTTCTGCGGTGGTCAGCCAGGGAGACCTGGGCCCCGGGTTTGGAGTGGGCTGGGAGGCAGGCATGACCAGGGTGTGGGTTCTCCCTGTGGGATCACAGGTCCTGGACAGAGAGGAGTCAGGGGTGTGGCCGGGGGAGGACCCGCCCAGCAGGGAAGTTAGTAGGGCCAGAGAAAGCGTCCATCAGGCCGAACTTTGTAAAGACACTCTTGCCTCCAAGATTGCTGAGACCAAGCCGGATGACAAGCCTTGTCATCAGCAGACTCTGCCCAGAGGCCTTGTGGGATAAGCCAGAGGCCATGGTGTAGCAGGTTCCAGGAGGGCCAAGCAGGGACATCCCGGGCCGGGCCGAGGATTTAGGAATTTGTTGGGGAAAGAAGGATACCCCACTGAGAACCCCCCATCTGGCATTTTACTTCCCTCAATTTTTTCTGCATCCTCACCGGACCTAACTCCTGCCTGTGAGGGGAGTGTCGTCCAGGCCATACCTCATTTAGAAAGACCCCCTGTTCAGAGAGGCCAGGTGAGCCGCTCAACCTTCCTTCCACTCGGTAACAGATGTAGGAGCAGTTCCGACCATAGGCAAATTCCAGGTTGCGGAAGTGGAAGGAGAAGGTCTTGGGATGCAACTTCTCCATTGGGTTTCTGGGGGCAAAAGAGAGGAAAGTGAAAACGGAGAGAGTGCCGCCTGGGGCACCCCCTGGCTGGTGCCTCCTGAACACAGCCCCCTGGGCCCTCCTGGGCCCTGAGCATTCCTGGCTGCCTTTCCTGGCAGGAAGACTGGGGGAGGGGAAGGGGAGAGGGGCACGGGGACAGCAGGCACGGGTGACCTCTCCCACAGGCCCGGCTCTGCTCCTTCCAACAGCACACTCCACCCCCACTTTTCCTGCCCACCCTTTCCCAACCCATCGGAAAAACAGAAAGGATGAATAAAACCCCTCCACCCCCAAATTATAGCTTTCAACCCCTCAGTTTCATTCATCTCTGACTTTCCCCTATGTGTTTTTTTAAAATATCAGGTTAACACCTAAATTCAGAGGCTCAGGCTACTCTTCTCCGTGCTTTATGCATCTGAACTCACCCACTCCTCCCCAAATCCTGTGGGAGCCATCCTCACTGATAGAGGAGGAAGCCGGGGCACAGAGAGGTGAGCAGCCTGCCCAAGTCACAGGCCAGTAAGTGATGGCGCTGGGCCCTGTCCAGGCGAGGACGTTTCCAGCTGTCCCGTTATGTGACCTTACAGCAGGACACAGTCTTGATGTGGCTTTCTTTTCTACTTGATTTTAAAATAAGAATGCTTCTCCCAATCGTGGCATCTTTTCTCCAATTTCCATTAGTGGCATAGTTATAAACGGGAAGCGTGAGTGCCTAGCTTGTGGGTATGTTTTTTTTTTTTTTTAAGGATGATTAGCCCTGAGGTAACATCTGCCACCAATCCTCCTCTTTTTGCTGTGGAAGGCGGGCCCTGAGCTAACATCAGCGCCCATCTTCTACTTTCTATATGGTCTGCCTACCACAGCTAGGCTTGCTAGGGGGTGCCATGTCTGCAACCGGGATCTGAACCGGTGAACCCCGGGCCGCTGAGAAGGCGAATGTGGGAATTTAACCGCTGCGCCACCGGGCTGGCCCCTGTGGGTCTGTTTATGAACGGTCTGCATTCACTTTTCTGGTCATAGTTGAGCTATCCTTGGAAGAGATTATTTATCTTCTCGCCTCAGAGACCTAGTCTCGCCTGATGTTTATAATGGTGTAAATATTATAGGAAATCGATCAAAGTGCTTTAAACTAAATACACCAACTGCTTCAATCATCCTTTGACCAAATTCTAAGTGTTAACAGAGCACGGAACTTCCTGAGGACCCACAGAGGGGGCAGGGTCGCACAGGCAGCGGGACAGCCCCGCCCGACAGACTTTCAGACCCAGAGGTGGGCCAGGAGGACCAATGGTGGGAGTGGAGGTGTGGGAAGGATCAGGTCAGAGGCAATAGTGAGGGCATCCTCAGCAGTGGGCAAAGACCCCAGATGGGAGTGGGTCCTGCAGCCAAGGAGCCCAGAGAGGGAGAGAAGCGAGGCTGGGAGTGGGGAGGAGGAGGAGGCCGAGGACAGAGGGACAGCAGGGCCCACCACAAAGGAAGGGGCTGCAGAAAGAGGGCACAGCAGGACAGAGGGGGCGGTGGTACCTAATCTGGGCATTGGCTTAGCCTCCCGGGAAGGCTGGTCCAGCCCTGCCCTTTGTCCCCAGCGCTGAGGCTCCATCTCCTCTCCCAGCTTTGGGAAAGCCCCTGGTCTGAGAGAGTCCTCCCACAGCTGTCTGAGGGGTGGCCCACACCCTTCCTGCTACGATAACGGAGTGGAGGTTGGTGGTTAGGAGTTGGGAGTTGGGGAGGTTGGTGGGAGGCCTTATGGTGCCTTTGCTCCTCTGGGCTCAGATCCACCTTCTTTCGTCCTCCTGGGCTGTTGACTTACCTGTTCCTGGGAGCCTGGACGTAGCCCCCGCCTCAGTAGTTTTGAACCAGCACTGCCCTTTGCCTTGGGGGCTGGGGGTCCATTTCCTCTCCCAGGCGTTTGCTTCAGCAAAGCCCCTTGTCTGAGAGTGACCTACTCGGCTTTTGGCTGAGGCCCCACCTGCTTCCTGCTTAGGCACCAGGGGTAGTAGGGCCCTAGGGAGGCGGGTAGACTTCCTCAGCCTCTGACCCACCTTTTCTGCTTCTCTCGGGCCCTCCCTCTTGGCAGCGCTCGCCGGTCTGTGGGGCAGGACCCAACACTGTTGCAAAGGGAAAGAGAAAGTAATGATGCCAGAGAGGGGGATGGGCCAGGCCCTGGCTGAAGAGAGCAGGACAGAGGCTGGCTCCTCAGGGGAGGGGCAGGCTGGAGGCCTCTCCACTGATGACTGAGATGATCAAGAGGTGTGTCACCCACATCTGTGCCCCTCGGTGCCTCCCTCCTTGGAGGAGACACGGACGGGGGGGCATCAAAGTAGATGAGCTGCAGCAGCCAGAGAGCCCCCTGGAGTCTGCCCTAGACTCCCGGGCAGCCATGTGGACGGGGCGGAGTGGGGGTGGGGGGTAGTGAAGAGACGAGTGTCTGCTGTCACCAACAATTCACACTGAGACGGCCAAACAGGGGAAGAGCCAGCGGGTCCGTGTGGGACCCAAGACGTTCTCCACCACGATGTTATGGATGTATTCCAAAGCGAACCCCTTCCCTCTTGCTCTTCCTTCTTCTGCCTCTGCCTCTGCCTGCCCAGAATCCCACTGCGTCCGGCTGATCTCTTGCTCCCTTTTGGCTGTGCCGTGGTCCAGGCCACCCTGTCTGGAACCTCCACTGAGATCTTCCCCAGTGCCTTTGCACGGTAGTCGGCTCTGTGGCCAAACAACCAGGCGTGCACTCCTGTTTGTCCTTGAGTGCCTGAGCTGCTGTGTCTCGCACCTGATTCTCGGCCACCTTCCGTTTTCTATTCTGCTTTTTGGAAAAGCTCTGATCATCTCAATCCTCACATACCCTACCCTACTTCTCTTCTAAAAACTTATTTAAACGGAAACTTAACTGTTAATTGTTTTTTTCGCCATCACCATCCCTAGGCTGCATTCCCCCAGAGCTTCTCTGGCAGCAATGTGGGAAGGGGATAAGGGAGGAGCGGAGTGTGGCGGGCTGATGACGGAGTGAGCGGCAAGGTGGACGATGCCAGGGCCGGCTAGGTGTGGAGTGGAAGCAGGTGTCTGTGATGAGAAGAACAGCTTTGTTTTTCTGAGTTGCCGCACAGGCATTTTGCAGTAGGACAACCCTGCCCGCATTTGGACAAGGACTGGACGTTCAGATAACGACTTGAGTTTGGGATGCCCACCACAGTTCCTGCTGTGCTTTCGCTTTTCCCCGGGAAGCTTCTAAAACAGCCGCTTAGATTTAAGGCCATGAAGAGTTAGTGAGGTCTGCTCACTCACGACCTGGAACAGAGGACTCCAGCTCCTTGCACCTCCTGGCTTCTGGGACCTGCGAGTAATAATAAACCTTGTGACTCTCCTTCCTTTGTGTGGGTGCACTGAGGCTGCGCCTTGAGTCAAAGCCACCCCTGGATTTCACTTCCCCAGAGCGGGAGCTCAGACACTGAGGGAGCCACCTGCTGACCCCGTGGGGGTGGCTTGTATCCCCTTATTTACCAATTTTAAATGACATACAGGCATACTTCATTGTATTGTGCTCTGCAGATACTGCCTTTCTTACAAATTGACGGTTTTTGGCAATCTGGAAGTGAGCAAGTCTGTGGGATCCATTTTTCCAACAGCATTTGCTCACGTTGCGTCTCTGTGTCACGTTTTGGTGATTCTCGCAATATTTCAAACGTTTTCATAATTATTATGTTTGTTACAGTGATGTGTGATCAGTTGTCTTTGATGTTACTTTTGTAGTCGTTTTGGGGTGCCACCAAGTGCACCCATGTAAGATGGCGAAGTTACTTGATAATGTTCTGTGTGTCCTGCCTGCTCCCCTGCCTCTCTCCCTCTCCTCGGGCCTCCCTATTCCCTGAGACGGAGCAAGATTGAAATTAGCCAATTAATAACCCGTAATGGCCCCTAAGTGGTCAGGTGGAGGGAAGGGTTGCATGTCTCTCACTTTAAATCGAAAGCTAGAAATGATCAAGTCATGTAGAAAGCCGAGGCAGGCCAAAAGCGAGGCCTGTTGCACCAGTTAGGTGAGTTGTGAATGCCAAGGAAAAGTTCTTGAAGGAAATTAAAAGTGCTACTCCAATGGACACACGGATGATAAGAAAGCGAAACAGCCTGATTGCTGATATGGAGAAAGTTTTAGCATCTGGATAGAAGATCAAACCAGCCACAACTTTCCCTTGAGCTAAAGCCTAATCCCGAGCCAGGCCCTGACCCTCTTGAATTCTGTGAAGGCTGAGAGAGGGGAGGAAGCTGCAGGAGAAAAGTCTGAAGCCAGCAGAGGCTGGTTGAGGAGGGTTAAGGAAAGAAGCCGTCACCATAACAGAGAAGTGGGAGGAGAGGCAGTCAGTGCTCATGGAAAAGCTGCAGCTGGTTTCCCAGAAGATCTAGCTAAGATAATTCACGAAGGGGCTACACTTAACAACAGATTTCCAATGTAAGATGAAACATCCTTATCTAGGAAGAAGATGCCATCTAGGACTTACATCGCTAGAGAGGAGAAGCCAACACCTGGCTTCAAAGATTCAAAGGACAGGCTGACTCTTGTTAGAGGCTGACGCAGCTGGTTGCTTTAAGCTGAAGCTGATGCTCATTTACCATCCCGAAAATCCTGGGGCCCTTAAGACTGATGCTAAATGTACTCTGCCTGTGCTCTATCACTGGAACAACAAAGCCTGGACGAGAGCACATGTGTTTGCAGCACAGTTTACTGCATATTTTAAGCCTACTGTTGAGAACGGCTGCTCAGAAACAAAAGACTCCTTTAAAAATACTACTGCTCGTTGACAACGCACCTGCTCACCCAAAACCTCCGATGGAGATGTTCAACGAGAGTAATGTTGTCATGCCTGCTAACACGCAGCCTTTCTGCAGCCCATGGATCAAGGAGTAATTTCAACTGGCAAGTCTTATCACTTAAGAAGAAACACATTTCATGATGCTACAGCTGCCATAGCTATTGATTCCTCTGACGGATTTGGGAAAAGTAAACTGAAAACCTCTGGAAAGGATGCGCCATCCAGATGTCATCAAGAACATTTGTGATTCGTGGGAAGAGGTCCAAATATGAGCATGAAACGGAGTGTGTGTCGCCGAGCAACGTGAGTTCGCTTCTTGGTGAGTCGAAATCAAAGCCTTCACCAGGAGCAGTTGTCCCACAAAGTAAATTTTATTTGCAGCAAATAAGGAGACCGCAGTTTCCCACGCCGTGGCTCCCCGAGTAAGGGAAAGCAGGTACTGTTGATGTGAGGTGGGGAATAAATATTCAACGTGGAAGTTTTGTCGTTAGGTGTAGGGGTGGGCATAAGCTCGAGCAGGCTCCTTAGGTGTTCGTGCTTCCTGTGTGCCTAAAAGCGTGCTGTTGCTCCCTACGTGGCGGGGGTGTTACCGTGTCGATGAAGCAAAGGTCACTCTAGGGTCCTGCCTGGTTCTTCTGCATGTGGGTCAGTCTTGCAGTGCAGTCTGCAGCAGTTCAAGGTAGCTGGTGCCCCTGTTTTCTTCGTGGGACATAATTGAATCAAAAGGGCCATTAGAGAAAGGAACCCCTGCGATTCTCAGCAAGACGAGAGGAATGGGTCAGAATCCACAGCCAGTGACCTTCGGAAGAACTTGATTCCAGCCCTCGTGGATGACTCTGAGGGTTTCGAGACTCCACTGGAGGCAGTAAATGCAGATGGAGGGGAAACAGCAAGAGGACTAGAATGAGAAGTGGAGCCTGAAGACGAGACTGAATTGCCACCATCCCGTGATAAACTCTAATGCGTGAGGAGTTGCTGCTCACAGATGAGCAAGGGAAGCAGTTTTGTGAGGTGGAGTGCACTCCTGGTGAAGACGCTGTGAAGACGGCTGAAATGACAAGAAAGGATTTAGAACATTCCATGAACTTTGTTGGTAAAACGGCAGCAGAGTCGGAGAGGATCGACTCCAGTTTTGAAAGAAGTTCTTCTGTGGGTAAAATGCTGTCAATCAGCTTCGCGTGCTGCAGAGCAATCGTTCATGAAAGGAAGAGTCAATCGATGCGGCAAACTTCACTGTTGTCTCGTTGCAAGGAGTTGCCACAGCCACCCAGCCTTCAGCAGCCACCACCCTGATCAGCAGGCATCAGCGTCGAGGCAGGAGCCCCCACCAGCAAAAAGATTGCAACTCCCTGAAGGATCAGAGGATGGTTAACATTTTTGAGCAATAAAGTATTTTTAAATTAAGGTATATATATTGGGGTTTTTTAAGACATACTGCTATTGCCACTTAATAGACTCCAGTATGGTATAAATATATCTTTTTTTTTGCTGAGGAAGATTCGCCCTGAGCTAACATCTGTGCCAACCCTCCTCTATTTTTCTTTGTGTGGGTCACTGCCAGAGCATGGCTGGTGAGTGGAGTATGTCTGTGCACAGGATGCAAACCCACAGACCCGGGCCACCGAAGCAGAGCACCCAGAACTTTAATCAATCAGCCACTGGGCCAGGCCCTAAATACAACTTTTATATATATATATCACTTTTATATGCACTGGGAAGCCAAAAAATTCACGTGACTCGCTTTATTGTGATATTAGGTTTTTTGTGGTGGTCTGGAAGCAAGCTTGCAACATCTCTGAGGTAGGCCGGTCTCCTTAGGTCAGGGTACCAGCTCCAGCTACTCAGCAGCGGAAAGGATGGAGCCAGGAGGCTGAGGAAGCGCTCACTTGAGAATCTCCTCAAGGTTTGTGGCCAGGAGACGAGAATTTACATTAATCTTTTCCCAAGGAATGAATTCCCTTCCACTGTTGTGCACAAAGTTGTCCCAGCAGTATCTGAAATCTGAGATGAAGAGGGGAGGGGGCAGTCAGGGCCGGGCCTGGCGAGGCCTTTCTCTCCTGTCCCTCCCCGCTCAGGGTCTGGTCTCCCTGCTAGGTGCCATCAGTCCTGCCTCAGTTTCCCAGGCTCTCCTCCCATGCACTCTCCCTGGGAGCATTCTAGGTGCCCCAACCCGTGCTAGGCACCCCCACCACAGCCCTGCCCCCAGCGCCCTTTGCTCTCACCCTGGTAGAACATGATGGCCAGCTGGGCCCCACTGCTGCACAGGTTCCGAAGGTCCGGCTTATTCCTTTGCCAATAGTAGAGGCGGGCGGCGAAGATGCTCAGCTCCACGTTCCTGTGCTGCTTCAGGAACTCGGCCACCTGCCTGGCACAGTTGGAGCAGGGGCTCCAGGATATGAACCAGGTGACATGGTAATACTCGTCAGGGGACAGCCTGCCGCGGAACCAATGGAGGAAGCAGAGTTCTGCGTGGCGGCAATTCTCGTCACAGACCTGGGAGGGACGGAGAAGCAAAGGGGACCCTCTTGGCTGCCAGAGCAGACGGGGTGGCAGGGGCTGGGTGGAGCGGGGAGGGCGAGGGCGCAGGAGTCCCAGGGGCGTGTGATTCATTGATTTGGCCCTTCTTTCCCTATCTCCCCTCCCTTCTTTGTTTATGTAGTCATCCCTTCCCACGTTCACGGACTCATTCATTAATTCCAACAGCCACTCTCCCCTTCATTCATTCTACAAGCATCCCGAGCACCTGCTCCAGGCCAGGCCCCGTAGGGTCCCGGCTTGTGTCTGCTGGAGAGGGCCACAGAGCTGCCCTGTCCCACAGCAGAGCCACTAGCCACACGTGTCTCCTGGGCACTTGAAAGGTGGCTCCTCTGAACTGAGATGTGTGGCGAAGACACATCTCATTTTAATGACTTAGTATGAAAAAGCATGTAAAGTATCTGACGAAGAATTTTCATATTAATTGTATGTTGAAATATTATCCTAGATATGTTGCCGAATACATTCTCAATATTAATTTGATCAGTTTCTCTTAACTTTTTGAACACTAGGTGCAAGAAAAAGTTGAATGATCTATGTGAACTCGATGATGTTTCTATGGGATCACACTGCTAGAGCGCCCTCCCATCCCATCACTCCTCCCTCCCCCAAACAGGTCCTGAACAGCCTGTGGTTTCTCCTGGATGGAGAAGAGAGGGCAGGCGTGTGGTAGGAGGTGTCGCAGGAGCGGTCAGTGGTTTGCGCTGGGGCCACACAGTTGTGGTTGGCTCGATCTGGTAACTGCTGGTTCTGCGGTGGTCAGCCAGGGAGACCTGGGCCCCGGGTTTGGAGTGGGCTGGGAGGCAGGCAGGACCAGGGTGTGGGTTCTCCCTGTGGGATCACAGGTCCTGGACAGAGAGGAGTCAGGGGTGTGGCTGGGGGAGGACCCGCCCAGCAGGGAAGTTAGCAGGGCCAGAGAAAGCGTCCATCAGGGGGAACTTTGTAATGACACTCTTGCCTCCAAGATCGCTGAGGCCAAGCCAGGTGACAAGCCTTGTCATCAGCAGACTCTGCCTAGACACCTTGTGGGATAAGCCAGAGGCCATGGAGTAGCAGGTTCCCGGAGGGCCAAGCAGGGAAATCACGGGCCGAGGATTTAGGAAGATGTTTCGGAAAGAAGGATACCCCACTGAGAACCCCTCATCTGGCATTTTACTTCCCACAATTTTTTCTGCATCCTCACCGGGCCTAACTCCTGCCTGCGAGGGGAGTGTCGTCCAGGCCATACCTCATTTAGAAAGACCCCCTGTTCAGAGAGGCCAGGTGAGCCGCTCAACCTTCCTTCCACTTGGTAGCAGAGGTAGGAGTACTTCCGATCATAGGCAAATTCCAGGTTGCAGAAGTGGAAGGAGAAGGTGTTGGGATGCAGCTTCTCCAATGGGTTTCTGGGGCAAAAGAGAGGAAAGTGAAAATGGAGAGGGTGCCGTCTGGGCCACTCCAGGCTGGTGCCTCCTGGACCCGCCCCCTGGGCCCTCCTGGGCCATGAGCACTCCTGGCTGCCTTTCCTGGCAGGAGGACTGGGGGAGGGGAAGGGGAGAGGGGCATGGGGTCAGCAGGCATGGGTGACCTCTCCCACAGGCCCGGCTCTGCTTCTTCCAACAGCACACTCCACCCCCACTTTTCCTGCCTACCCTTTCCCAACCCATCGGAAAAACAGAAAGGATGAATAAAACCCTTCCACCCCCAAATTATAGCTTTTAACCCCTCAGTTTCATTCATCGCTGACTTTCCCCGTATGCGTTTTTTCAAAATACCAGGTTAACACCTAAATTCAGAGGCTCAGGCTACTCTTCTCCGTGCTTTATGCATCTGAACTCACCCACTCCTCCCCAAATCCTGTGGGAGCCACCCTCACTGATAGAGGAGGAAGCCGGGGCACAGAGAGGTGAGCAGCCTGCCCAAGTCACAGGCCAATAAGTGATGGCGCTGGGCCCTGTCCAGGCGAGGACGTTCCCAGCTGTCCCATTATGTGACCTTACAGCAGTGCACAGTCTTGATGTGGCTTTCTTTTCTACTTGATTTAAAAATAAGAATGCTTCTCCCGATCGCGGCATCTTTTCTCCAATTTCCATTAGTGGCATGGTCATAAACGGGAAGCGTGAGTGCCCAGCTTGTGGCTATGCTTATTTTTTTTTGAGGAAGATTAGCCCTGAGGTAACGTCTGCCACCAATCCTCCTCTTTTTGCTGAGGAAGACTGGCCCTGACCTAACCTCCGTGCCCATATTCCTCTACTTTCTTTGTGGGATGCCTACCACAGCATGGCTTGCTGAGTGGTGCCATGTCTGCAACCGGGATCTGAACCGGGGAACCCCGGGCCTCTGAGAGGCGGAACCTGCGAACTTAAGCGCTGCGCCACAGGGCTGGCCCTGTGGGTATGTTTAAGAATGGTCTGCATTCACTTCTCTGGTCATAGTTGAGCTATCCTTGAAAGAGATCATTTATCTTCTTGCCTCAGAGAGCTAGTCTCGCCTGATGTTTATAATGGTGCAAATATTATAGGAAATCGATTAAAGTGCTTTAAACTAAATACACCAACTGCTTCAATCATCCTTTCATCCAATTCTAAGTGTTAACAGAGCATGGAACTTCCTGAGGACCCACAGAGGGGGCAGGCTCCCACAGGCAGCGGGGACAGGCCAGACAGAGGTGGGAAGGTCTCCTTAGGTCAGGGTCACAGCTCCACCTTCTCAACAGTGGAGAGCACAGAGGAGGGAGCGAGGAGGCTGAGGAAGCGCTCACTTGAGAAGGTCCTCAAGCTTTCTGGCCAGGAGATCAGAATTTGCATCAATGTTTTCCCAAGGAATGAAGTGCCTTCCATGATGGTACACAAAGTTGTCCCAGCAGTATCTGAAATCTGAGATGAAGAGGGGAGGGGGCAGTCAGGGCCGGGCCTGGCGAGGACTTTCTCTCCTATCCCTCCCCGCTCAGGGTCTGGTCTCCCTGCTAGGTGCCATCAGTCCTGCCTCAGTTTCCCAGGCTCTCCTCCCATGCACTCTCCCTGGGAGCATTCTAGGTGCCCCACCCCGTGCTAGGCGCCCCCACCACAGCCCTGCCCCCAGTGCCCTTTGCTCTCACCCCTGAAGACCATGATGGCCAGCTCGGCCCCACTGTTGCACAGGCTCCGAAGGCCCTGCTCGTGGTCTCGGCAATAGTAGAGGCGGGCGGCGAGGATGCTCAGCTCCACGTTCCTGTGCCGCTTCAGGAACTTGGCCACATCCCTGGCACAGTTGGAGCAGGGGCTCCAGGATATGAACCAGGTGACACGGTAATACTCGTGAGGGGACAGTCTGCCGCGGAACCAATGGAGGAAGCAGAGTTCTGCGTGGCCGCCAGTGTCACCACAGACCTGGGCGTGAGGGAGAATCAAAGGGGACCCTCTTGGCTGCCAGAGCAGGCGGGGTGGCAGGGGCTGGATGGAGCGGAAAGGGCGAGGGCCCAGGAGTCCCAGGGGCGTGTTATTCATTGATTTAGCCCTTCTTTCTGTCTCTCCCCTCTCTTCTTTGTCTATGTAGTCATCCCTTCCCACGTTCACGGACTCATTCATTAATTCCAACAGCCACTCTCCCCTTCATTCATTCTACAAGCATCCCGAGCACCTGCTCCAGGCCAGGCCCGGTAGGGTCCCGGCTTGTGTCTGCTGGAGAGGGCCACAGAGCTGCCCTGTCCCACAGCAGAGCCACTAGCCACACGCGTCTCCTGGGCACTTGAAAGGTGGCTCCTCTGAACTGAGATGTGTGGCGAAGACACATCTCATTTTAATGACTTAGTATGAAAAAGCATGTAAAGTATCTGACGAAGAATTTTCGTATTAATTGTATGTTGAAATAATATCCTAGATATGTTGCCGAATACATTCTCAATATTAATTTGATCAGTTTCTCTTAACTTTTTGAACACTAGGTGCAAGAAAAAGTTGAATGATCTATGTGAACTCGATGATGTTTCTATGGGATCACACTGCTAGAGCGCCCTCCCATCCCATCACTCCTCCCTCCCCCAAACAGGTCCTGAAAAGCCTGCGGTTTCTCCTGGATGGAGAAGAGAGGGCAGGCGTGTGGTAGGAGGTGTCGCAGGAGCGGTCAGTGGTTGGCACGGGGGCCACACAGTTGTGGTTGGCTCGATCTGGTAACTGCTGGTTCTGCGGTGGTCAGCCAGGGAGACCTGGGCCCCGGGTTTGGAGTGGGCTGGGAGACAGGCAGGACCAGGGTGTGGGTTCTCCCTGTGGGATCACAGGTCCTGGACAGAGAGGAGTCAGGGGTGTGGCCGGGGGAGGACCCGCCCAGCAGGGCAGTTAGCAGGGCCAGAGAAAGCGTTCATCAGGCCGAACTTTGTAAAGACACTCTTGCCTCCAAGATCGCTGAGGCCAAGCCAGATGACAAGCCTTGTCATCAGCAGACTCTGCCTAGACACCTTGTGGGATAAGCCAGAGGCCATGGCATAGCAGGTTCCAGGAGGGCCAAGCAGGGACATCACGGCCGAGGATTTAGGAAGTTGTTGTGGAAAGAAGGATACCCCACTGAGAACCCCCCATCTGGTATTTTACTTCCCTCAATTTTTTCTGCATCCTCCAAGGGCCTAACTCCTGCCTGCGAGGGGAGTGTCGTCCAGGCCATACCTCATTCACAACGACCCCCTGTTCAAAGAGGCCAGGTGGGCCGCTCAACCTTCCTTCCACTTGGTAGCAGAGGTAGGAGCAGTTCCGACCATAGACAAATTCCATGTTAAGGAAGTGGAAGGAGAAGGTCTCAGGATCCAACTTCTCCATTGGGTTTCTGGGGGCAAAAGAGAGGAAAGTGAAGACTGAGAGAGTGCCGCCTGGGGCACCCCCTGGCTGGTGCCTCCTGAAAACAGCCCCCTGGGCCCTCCTGGGCCCTGAGCATTCCTGGCTGCCTTTCCTGGCAGGAAGACTGGGGGAGGGGAAGGGGAGAGGGGCACGGGGTCAGCAGGCATGGGTGACCTCTCCCACAGGCCAGGCTCTGCTCCTTCCAACAGCACATTCCACCCCCACTTTTCCTGCCCACCCTTTCCTAACCCACCAGAAAAACAGAAAGGATGAATAAAACCCCTCCACCCCCAAATTATAGCTTTCAACCCCTCAGTTTCATTCATCGCTGACTTTTCCCCTATGCATTTTTTTAAAATATCAGGTTAACACCTAAATTCAGAGGCTCAGGCTACTCTTCTCCGTGCTTTATGCATCTGAACTCACCCACTCCTCCCCAAATTGTGTGGGAGCCATCCTCACTGATAGAGGAGGAAGCCGGGGCACAGAGAGGTGAGCAGCCTGCCCAAGTCACAGGCCAGTAAGTGATGGCGCTGGGCCCTGTCCAGGTGAGGACGTTTCCAGCTGTCCCATTATGTGACCTTACAGCAGTGCTCAGTCTTGATGTGGCTTTCTTTTCTACTTGATTTAAAAACAAGAATGCTCCTCCCGATCGTGGCATCTTTTCTCTAATTTCCATTAGTGCCGTGGTTATAAACTTGAAGCATGGGTGCCTAGCTTGTGGGTATGTTTTTTTCTCTTTTGAGGAAGATTAGCCCTGAGCTAACATCGGCCACCAATCCTCCTCTTTTTGCTGAGGAAGACTGACCCTGAGGTAACATCCGTGCCCATCTTCCTCTACTTTCCATGTGGTTTGCCTACCACAGCATGGCTTGCTGACCGTGCCATGTCTGCAACCGGGATCTGAACTGGCGAACCCCGGGCCGCTGAGAAGCGGAACCGTGCGAACTTAAGCGCTGCGCCACCGGGCTGGCCCCTGTGGGTCTGTTTAAGAACGGTCTGCATTCACTTTTCTGGTCATGGTTGAGCTATCCTTGGAAGAGATCATTTGTCTTCTCGCCTCAGAGAGCTAGTCTCGCCTGATGTTTATAATGGTGTAAATATTATAGGAAATCGATCAAAGTGCTTTAAACTAAATACACCAACTGCTTCAATCATCCTTTGACCAAATTCTAAGTGTTAACAGAGCACGGAACTTCCTGAGGACCCACAGAGCGGGCAGGGTCGCACAGGCAGCGGGGACAGCCCCGCCCGACAGACTTTCAGACCCAGAGGTGGGCCAGGAGGACCAATGGTGGGAGTGGAGGTGTGGGAAGGATCAGGTCAGAGGCAATAGTGAGGGCATCCTCAGCAGTGGGCAAAGACTCCAGATGGCAGTGGGTCCTGCAGCCAAGGAGCCCAGAGAGGGAGAGAAGCGAGGCTGGGAGTGGGGAGGAGGAGGAGGCCGAGGACAGAGGGACAGCAGGGCCCACCACAAAGGAAGGGGCTGCAGAAAGAGGGCACAGCAGGACAGAGGGGGCGGTGGTACCTAATCTGGGCATTGGCTTAGCCTCCCGGGAAGGCTGGTCCAGCCCTGCCCTTTGTCCCCAGCGCTGAGGCTCCCTCTCCTCTTCCAGCTTTGGGAAAGCCCCTGATCTGAGAGAGTCCTCCCACAGCTGTCTGAGGGGTGGCCCACACCCTTCCTGCTACGATAACCATAACGGAGTGGAGTTTGGTGGTTAGGAGTTAGGAGTTGGGGGCGGGGTTTGTAGGAGGCCCTAGGGTGCCTTTGCTCCTCTGGGCTCAGATCCACCTTCTTTCGTCCTCCCGGGCTGTTGACTTACCTGTTCCTGGGAGCCTGGACGTAGCCCCCACCTCAGTAAGCTTGTACCAGCACTGCCCTTGACCTGGGGAGGTGCGGGGCCCTCTGCTCCCCGAGACCTTGGCTTAGGGAAAGCCCCTTATCTGAGAGTGACCTCCCTGGCTTCTGGCTGAGGCCCCACCTCTTGCCTGGTTAGGCACCAGGGGTGCGAGGGCCCGGGCGGGGGCGGAGGGGTGGAGGTAGACTTCCTCAGCCTCTGACCCACCTTTTCTGCTTCTCTCGGGCCCTCCCTCTTGGCAGCGCTCGCCGGTCTGTGGGGCAGGACCCAACACTGTTGCAAAGGGAAAGAGAAAGTAATGATGCCAGAGAGGGGGATGGGCCAGGCCCTGGCTGAAGAGAGCAGGACAGAGGCTGGCTCCTCAGGGGAGGGGCAGGCTGGAGGCCTCTCCACTGATGACTGAGATGATCAAGAGGTGTGTCACCCACATCTGTGCCCCTCGGTGCCTCCCTCCTTGGAGGAGACACGGACAGGGGGAGCATCAAAGTAGATGAGCTGCAGCAGCCAGAGAGCCCCCTGGAGTCTGCCCTAGACTCCCGGGCAGCCATGTGGACGGGGCGGAGTGGGGGTGGGGGGTAGTGAAGAGACGAGTGTCTGCTGTCACCAACAATTCACACTGAGACGGCCAATCAGGGGAAGAGCCAGCAGGTCCGTGTGGGACCCAAGACGTTCTCCACCACGATGTTATGGATGTATTCCAAAGCGAACCCCTTCCCTCTTGCTCTTCCTTCTTCTGCCTCTGCCTCTGCCTGCCCAGAATCCCACTGCGTCCGGCTGATCTCTTGCTCCCTTTTGGCTGTGCCGTGGTCCAGGCCACCCTGTCTGGAACCTCCACTGAGACCTTCCCCAGTGCCTTTGCACGGTAGTCGGCTCTGTGGCCAAACAACCAGGCGTGCACTCCTGTTTGACCTTGAGTGCCTGAGCTGCTGTTTCTCTCACCTGATTCTCGGCCGCTGTCCATTTTCTATTCTGCTTTTTGTAAAAGCTCTGATCATCTCAATCCTCACATACCTCATCCTACTTTTCTTCTAAAAACTTATTTAAACAGAAACTTAACTGTCAATTGTTTTTTTCGCCATCACCATCCCTAGGCTGAATCCCCCCAGAGCTTCTCTGGCAACAATGTGGGAAGGAGATAAGGGAGGAGCAGAGTGTGGCGGGCTGATGACGGAGTGAGCGGCAAGGTGGACGATGCCAGGGGCGGCTGGGTGTGGAGTGGAAGCAGGTGTCTGTGATGAGAAGTACAGCTTTGTTTGTCCGAGTTGCTGCCCAGGCATTTTGCAGTAGGACAACCCTGCCCGCATTTGGACAAGGACTGGACGTTCAGATAACGACTTGAGTTTGGGATGCCCGCCACAGTTCCTGCTGTGCTTTCGCTTTTCCCCGGGAAGCTTCTAAAACAGCCGCTTAGATTTAAGGCCATGAAGAGTTAGTGAGGTCTGCTCACTCACGACCTGGAACAGAGGACTCCAGCTCCTTGCACCTCCTGTTTTCTCGATCTGTGAGTAATAATAAACGTTGTGACTCTCCTTCCTTTGTGTGGGTGCACTGAGGCTGTGCCTTGAGTCAAAGCCACCCCTGGATTTCACTTCCCCAGAACGGGAGCTCAGACACTGAGGGAGCCACCTGCTGACCCCGTGGGGGTAGCTTGTGCCCCCTTATTTACCAATTTTAAATGACATACAGGCATACTTCATTGTATTGTGCTCTGCCTTTTTTACAAATTGAAGGTTTTCGGCAATCTGGAATTGAGCAAGTCTGTGGGCTCCATTTTTCCAACAGCATTTGCTCACGTTGCGTCTCTGTTTCACGTTTTGGTGATTCTTGCAATATTTCAAACGTTTTCATAATTATTATGTTTGTTACAGTGATGTGTGATCAGTTGTCTTTGATGTTACTTTTGTAGTCGTTTTGGGGTGCCACCAACTGCACCCATATAAGATGGCGAAGTTACTTGATAATGTTCTGTGTGTCCTGCCTCCTCCCCTGCCTCTCTCCCTCTCCTCGGGCCTCCCTATTCCCTGAGATGGAACAAGATTGAAATTAGCCAATTAATAACCCATAATGGCCCCTAAGTGGTCAGGTGGAGGGAAGGGTTGCATGTCTCTCACTTCAAATCGAAAGCTAGAAATGATCAAGTCATGTAGAAAGCCGAGGCAGGCCAAAAGCGAGGCCTGTGGCACCAGTTAGGTGAGTTGTGAATGCCGAGGAAAAGTTCTTGAAGGAAATTAAAAGTGCTACTCCAATGGACACACGGATGATAAGAAAGCGAAACAGCCTGATTGCTGATATGGAGAAAGTTTTAGCATCTGGATAGAAGATCAAACCAGCCACAACTTTCCCTTGAGCTAAAGCCTAATCCCGAGCCAGGCCCTGACCCTCTTGAATTCTGTGAAGGCTGAGAGAGGGGAGGAAGCTGCAGGAGAAAAGTCTGAAGCCAGCAGAGGCTGGTTGAGGAGGTTTAAGGAAAGAAGCCGTCACCATAACAGAGAAGTGGGAGGAGAGGCAGCCAGTGCTCATGGAAAAGCTGCAGCTGGTTTCCCAGAAGATCTAGCTAAGATAATTCACGAAGGGGCTACACTTAACCACAGATTTCCAATGTAAGATGAAACATCCTTATCTAAGAAGAAGATGCCATCTAGGACTTACATAGCTAGAGAGGAGAAGCCAACACCTGGCTTCAAAGATTCAAAGGACAGGCTGACTCTTGTTAGAGGCTGACGCAGCTGGTTGCTTTAAGCTGAAGCTGATGCTCATTTACCATCCCGAAAGTCCTGGGGCCCTTAAGACTGATGCTAAATGTACTCTGCCTGTGCTCTATCACTGGAACAACAAAGCCTGGACGAGAGCACATCTATCTGCAGCACAGTTTACTGCATATTTTAAGCCTACTGTTGAGAACGGCTGCTCAGAAACAAAAGACTCCTTTAAAAATATTACTGCTCGTTGGCAACCCACCTGCTCACCTGAAACCTCCGATGGAGATGTTCAATGAGAGTAATGTTGTCATGCCTGCTAACACGCAGCCTTTCTGCAGCCCATGGATCAAGGAAGTGGTCAGGTGGAAGGAAGGGTTCGACTGGCAGGTCTTATGACTTAAGAAACACATTTCATGATGCTACAGCTGCCATAGCTATTGATTCCTCTGACGGATTTGGGAAAAGTAAACTGAAAACCTCTGGAAAGGATGCGCCATCCAGATGTCATCAAGAACATTTGTGATTCGTGGGAAGAGGTCCAAATATGAGCATGAAACGGAGTGTGTGTCACCGAGCAACGTGAGTTCGCTTCTTGGTGAGTCGAAATCAAAGCCTTCACCAGGAGCAGTTGTCCCACAAAGTAAATTTTATTTGCAGCAAATAAGGAGACCGCAGTTTCCCACGCCGTGGCTCCCCGAGTAAGGGAAAGCAGGTACTTTTGATATGAGGTGGGGAATGAATATTCAACGTTGAAGTTTTGTCGTTAGGTGTAGGGGTGGGCATAAGCTCGAGCAGGCTCCTTAGGTGTTCGTGCTTCCTGTGTGCCTAAAAGCGTGCTGTTGCTCCCTACGTGGCGGGGGTGTTACCGTGTCGATGAAGCAAAGGTCACTCTAGGGTCCTGCCTGGTTCTTCTGCATGTGGGTCAGTCTTGCAGTGCGGTCTGCAGCAGTTCAAGGTAGCTGGTGCCCCTGTCTTCTTCGTGGGACATAATTGAAACAAAAGGGCCATTAGAGAAAGGAACATCTGCGATTCTCAGCAAGACGAGAGGAATGGGTCAGAATCCACAGCCTGTGACCTTCGGAAGAACTTGATTCCAGCCCTCGTGGATGACTCTGAGGGTTTCGAGACTCCAGTGGAGGCAGTAAATGCAGATGGAGGGGAAACAGCAAGAGGACTAGAATGAGAAGTGGAGCCTGAAGACGAGACTGAATTGCCGCCATCCCGTGATAAACTCTAACGGCTGAGGAGTTGCTGCTCATGGAGGAGCAAGGGAAGCAGTTTTGTGAGGTGGAGTGCACTCCTGGTGAAGACGCTGTGAAGACGGCTGAAATGACAAGAAAGGATTTAGAACATTCCATGAACTTTGTTGGTAAAACGGCAGCAGAGTCGGAGAGGATCGACTCCAGTTTTGAAAGAAGTTCTTCTGTGGGTAAAATGCTGTCAATCAGCTTCGCGTGGGGCAGAGCAATCGTTCATGAAAGGAAGAGTCAATCGATGTGGCAAACTTCACTGTTGTCTCGTTGCAAGGAGTTGCCACAGCCACCCAGCCTTCAGCAGCCACCACCCTCATCAGCAGGCATCAGCGTCGAGGCAGGAGCCCCCACCAGCAAAAAGATTGCAACTCCCTGAAGGATCAGAGGATGGTTAACATTTTTGAGCAATAAAGTATTTTTAAATTAAGGTATATACATTGGGGTTTTTTAAGACATACTGCTATTGCCACTTAATAGACTCCAGTATGGTATAAATATATCTTTTTTTTGGCTGAGGAAGATTCGCCCCGAGCTAACATCTGTGCCAACCCTCCTCTATTTTTCTTTGTGTGGGTCACTGCCAGAGCATGGCTGGTGAGTGGAGTATGTCTGTGCACAGGATGCAAACCCACAGACCCGGGCCACCGAAGCAGAGCACCCAGAACTTTAATCAATCAGCCACTGGGCCGGGCCCTAAATATAACTTCTATGTATATATAACTTTTATATGCACTGGGAAGCCAAAAAATTCACGTGACTCGCTTTATTGTGATATTAGGTTTTTTGTGGTGGTCTGGAAGCAAGCTTGCAATATCTCTGAGGTAGGCCGGTCTCCTTAGGTCAGGGTACCAGCTCCAGCTACTCAGCAGCGGAAAGGACGGAGCCAGGAGGCTGAGGAAGCGCTCACTTGAGAAGGTCCTCAAGCTTTGTGGCCAGGAGACGAGAATTTACATTAATCTTTTTCCAAGGAATGAAGTGCCTTCCACTGTTGTGCACAAAGTTGTCCCAGCAGTCTCTGAAATCTGAGATGAAGAGGGGAGGGGGCAGTCAGGGCCGGGCCTGGCGAGGCCTTTCTCTCCTGTCCTTCCCCGCTCAGGGTCTCGTCTCCCTGCTAGGTGTCATCAGTCCTGCCTCAGTTTCCCAGGCTCTCCTCCCATGCACTCTCCCTGGGAGCATTCTAGGTGCCCCACCCCGTGCTAGGCACCCCCCTCACAGCCCTGCCCCCAGGGCCCTTTGCTCTCACCCCAGAAGAACATGATGGCCAGCTGGGCCCCACTGCTGCGCAGGTTCCGAAGGCCCGGCTTATTCCTTTGCCAATAGTAGAGGCGGGCGGCGGAGATGTGCAGCTCCACATTCCTGTGCTGCTTCAGGAACTCGGCCACCTCCCTGGCACAGTTGGAGCAGGGGCTCCAGGATATGAACCAGGTTACACGGTAATCCGCGTGAGGGGACAGCCTGCCGCGGAACCAATGGAGGAAGCAGAGTTCTGCGTGGCGGCAATTCTCGTCACAGACCTGGGAGGGACGGAGAAGCAATGGGGACCCTCTTGGCTGCCAGAGCAGATGGGGTGGCAGGGGCTGGGTGGAGCGGGGAGGGCGAGGTCGCAGGAGTCCCAGGGGCGTGTGATTCATTGATTTAGCCCTTCTTTCTGTCTCTCCCCTCTCTTCTTTGTCTATGTAGTCATCCCTTCCCACGTTCCCGGACTCATTCATTAATTCCAACAGCCCTCTCCTCTTCATTCATTCTACAAGCATCCCGAGCACCTGCTCCAGGCCAGGCGCCCTAGGGTCCTGGCTTGTGTCTGTTGGAGAGGGCCACAGAGCTGCCCTGTCCCACAGCAGAGCCACTAGCCACACGTGTCTCCTGAGCACTTGAAGGTGGCTCCTCTGAATTGAGATGTGTGGCGAAGACACATCTCATTTTAGTGACTTAGTACGAAAAAGAATGTAAAGTATCTGACGAAGAATTTTCATATTAATTGTATGTTGAAATAATATCCTAGATATGTTGCCAAATATGTTCTCAATATTAATTTGATCAGTTTCTCTTAACTTTTTGAACACTGGGTGCAAGAAAAAGTTGAATGATGTATGTGACCTTGGTGATGTTTCTATGGGATCATACTGCAAGAGTGCCCGCCCATCCCATCACTCCTCCTTCCCCCAAGCAGGTCCTGAACAGCCTGCGGTTTCTCCTGGATGGAGAAGAGAGGGCAGGCGTGTGGTAGGAGGTGTCGCAGGAGCGGTCAGTGGTTGGCACGGGGGCCACACAGTTGTGGTTGGCTCGATCTGGTAACTGCTGGTTCTGCGGTCGTCAGCCAGGGAGACCTGGGCCCCGGGTTTGGAGTGGGCTGGGAGGCAGGCAGGACCAGGGTGTGGGTTCTCCCTGTGGGATCACAGGTCCTGGACAGAGAGGAGTCAGGGGTGTGGCCGGGGGAGGACCCGCACAGCAGGGCAGTTAGCAGGGCCAGAGAAAGTGTCCATCAGGCCGAACTTTGTAAAGACACTCTTGCCTCCAAGATCGCTGAGACCAAGCCGGATGACAAGCCTTGTCAGCAGACTCTGCCCAGAGGCCTTGTGGGATAAGCCAGAGGCTATGGCGTAGCAGGTTCCAGGAGGGCCAAGCAGGGACATCCCGGGCCGAGGATTTAGGAAGATGTTGTGGAAAGAAGGATACCCCACTGAGAACCCCTCATCTGGCATTTTACTTCCCACAATTTTTTCTGCATCCTCACCGGGCCTAACTCCTGCCTGTGAGGGGAGTGTCGTCCAGGCCATACCTCATTTAGAAAGACCCCCTGTTCAGAGAGGCCAGGTGAGCCGCTCAACCTTCCTTCCACTCGGTAGCAGAGGTAGGAGCACTTCCGACCCTTGGCAAATTTCAGGTTGCGGAAGTGGAAGGAGAAGGTCTTTCGATGCAGCTTCTCCATTGGGTTTCTGGGGGCAAAAGAGAAGAAAGTGAAAACGGAGAGAGTGCCGCCTGGGGCACCCCCTGGCTGGTGCCTCCTGGACCAGCCCCCTGGGCCCTCCTGGGCCCTGAGCATTCCTGGCTGCCTTTCCTGGCAGGAAGACTGGGGGAGGGGAAGCGGAGAGGGCCTGGGGACAGCAGGCACGGGTGACCTCTCCCACAGGCCCGGCTCTGCTCCTTCCAACAGCACACTCCACCCCTACTTTTCCTGCCCACCTTTCCCAACCCATCGGAAAAACAGAAAGGATGAATAAAACCCCTCCACCCCCAAATTGTAGCTTTTAACCCCTCAGTTTCATTCATCGCTGACTTCTCCCCTATGACTTTTTTTAAAATATCAGGTTAACACCTAAATTCAGAGGCTCAGGCTACTCTTCTCCGTGCTTTATGCATCTGAACTCACCCACTCCTCCCCAAATGCTGTGGGAGCCATCCTCCCTGATAGAGGAGGAAGCCGGGGCACAGAGAGGTGAGCAGCCTGCCCAAGTCACAGGCCAGTAAGTGCTGGCGCTGGGCCCTGTCCAGGCGAGGACGTTCCCAGCTGTCCCATTATGTGACCTTACAGCAGTGCACAGTCTTGATGTGGCTTTCTTTTCTACTTGATTTAAAAATAAGAATGCTTCTCCCGATCGTGGCATCTTTTCTCCAATTTCCATTAGTGGCATGGTTATAAACGGGAAGCATGGGTGCCTAGCTTGTGGCTATGCTTATTTTTTTTTGAGGAAGATTAGCCCTGAGGTAACATCTGCCACCAATCTTCCTCTTTTTGCTGAGGAAGACTGGCCCTGAGCTAACATCCGTGCCCATCTTCCTCTACTTTCTATGCGGTCTGCCTACCACAGCATGGCTTGCTGAGCGGTGCCATGCCTGCAACAGGGATCTGAACCGGTGAACCCCGGGCCGCTGAGAAGCCGAACGTGTGAATTTAACCGCTGCCCCACCGGGCTGGCCTCTGTGGGTATGTTTAAGAATGGTCTGCATTCACTTTTCTGGTCATAGTTGAGCTATCCTTGGAAGAGATCATTTATGTTCTCGCCTCAGAGAGCTAGTCTCGCCTGATGTTTATAATGGTGCAAATATTATAGGAAATCGATCAAAGTGCTTTAAACTAAATACACCAACTGCTTCAATCATCCTTTGATCCAATTCTAAGTGTTAACAGAGGACGGAACTTCCTGAGGACCCACAGAGGGGCAGGCTCCCACAGGCAGCGGGGACAGGCCAGACAGAGGTAGGAAGGTCTCCTTAGGTCAGGGTCACAGCTCCACCTTCTCAACAGTGGAGAGCACAGAGGAGGGAGCGAGGAGGCTGAGGAAGCGCTCACTTGAGAAGGTCCTCAAGCTTTCTGGCCAGGAGATCAGAATTTGCATCAATGTTTTCCCAAGGACTGAATTCCCTTCCACTGTTGTGCACAAAGTTGTCCCAGCAGTATGTGAAATCTGAGATGAAGAGGGGAGGGGGCAGTCAGGTCTGGGCCTGGCAGGGCCTTTCTCTCCTGTCCCTCCCCCCTCAGGGTCTGGGTTCCCTGCTAGGTGCCATCAGTCCTGCCTCAGTTTCCCAGGCTCTCCTCCCATGCACTCTCCCTGGGAGCATCTAGGTGCCCCACCCAGTGCTCGGCGCCGCCCCTCGCCCCCACAGCCCTGCTCCCAGCGCACTTTGCTCTCACCCTTGCGCAACATCACGGCCAGCTGGGCTCCACGATTGCACAGGCTTTGAAGCCCCTGCTCGTGGTCTCGGCAATAGTAGAGGCGGGCGGCAAAGATGCTCAGCTCCACGTTCCTGTGCCGCTTCAGGAACTCGGCCACCTCCCTGGCACAGTTGGAGCAGGGGCTCCAGGATATGAACCAGGTGACACAGTAATACTCGTCAGGGGACAGCCTGCCGCGGAACCAATCGAGGAAGCAGAGTTCTGCGTGGCGGCGAGTCTTGCCACAGACCTGGGAGGGACGGAGAAGCAAAGGGGACCCTCTTAGCTGCCAGAGCAGATGGGGTGGCAGGGGCTGGGTGGAGCGGGGAGGGCTAGGGCGCAGGAGTCCCAGGGGCGTGTGATTCATTGATTTAGCCCTTCTTTCCCTATCTCCCTTCCCTTCTTTGTCTATGTAGTCATCCCTTCCCACGTTCACGGACTCATTCATTAATTCCAACAGCCACTCTCCCCTTCATTCATTCTACAAGCATCCCGAGCACCTGCTCCAGGCCAGGCCCCGTAGGGTCCCGGCTTGTGTCTGCTGCAGAGGGCCACAGAGCTGCCCTGTCCCACAGCAGAGCCACTAGCCACACATGTCTCCTGGGCACTTGAAAGGTGATTCGTCTGAATTGAGATGTGTGGCAAAGACACATCTAATTTTAGTGACTTAGTATGAAAAGGAATGTAAAGTATCTGATGAAGAATTTTCATATTAATTGTATGTTGAAATAATATCTTAGGTATGTTGCCTAATACATTCTCAATATTAATTTGATCAGTTTCTCTTAACTTTTTGAACACCGGGTGCAAGAAAAAGTTGAATGACGTATGTGACCTCGGTGATGTTTCTATGGGATCATACTACAAGAGCGCCCTCCCATCCCATCACTCCTCCCTCTCCCAAACAGGTCCTGAAAAGCCTGCGGTTTCTCCTGGATGGAGAAGAGAGGGCAGGCGTGTGGTAGGATGTGTTGCAGGAGCGGTCAGTGGTTGCTGTGGGGGACGCGTGGTGGTGGTGGGCTCAATCTGGTAACTGCTGGTTCTGCGGTCGTCAGCCAGGGAGACCTGGGCCCCGGGTTTGGAGTGGGCTGGGAGGCAGGCAGGACCAGGGTGTGGGTTCTCCCTGTGGGATCACAGGTCCTGGACAGAGAGGAGTCAGGGGTGTGGCCGGGGGAGGACCCGCACAGCAGGGCAGTTAGCAGGGCCAGAGAAAGTGTCCATCAGGCCGAACTTTGTAAAGACACTCTTGCCTCCAACATCACTGAGGCCAAGCCGGATGACAAGCCTTGTCATCTGCAGACTCTGCCAAAAGGCCTTGTGGGATAAGCCAGAGGCCATGGTGTAGCAGGTTCCAGGAGGACCAAGCAGGGACATCCCAGGCCGAGGATTTAGGAAGATGTTGTGGAAAGAAGGATACCCCACTGAGAACCCCCCATCTGGCATTTTACTTCCCTCAATTTTTTCTGCATCCTCACCGGGCCTAACTCCTGCCTGCGAGGGGAGTATTGTCCAGGCCATACCTCATTTGGAAAGACCCCCTGTTCAGAGAGGACAGGTGAGCCGCTCAACCTTCCTTCCACTTGGTAGCAGAGGTAGGAGCAGTTCCGATCATAGACAAATTCCATGTTGAGGAAGTGGAAGGAGAAGGCCTCGGCATCCAACTTCTCCATTGGGTTTCTGGGGGCAAAAGAGAGGAAAATGAAAACAGAGAGAGTGCCTCCTGGGGCACCCCCTGGCTGGTGCCTGCTGAACACAGCCCCCTGGGCCCTCCTGGGCCCTGAGCATTCCTGGCTGCCTTTCCAGGCAGGAAGACTGGGGGAGGGGAAGGGGAGGAGGGGCATGGGGTCAGCAGGCACGGGTGACCTCTCCCACAGGCCCGGCTCTGCTCCTTCCAACAGCACACTCCACCCCAGTTTTCCTGCCCACCCTTTCCCAACCCATCGGAAAAACAGAAAGGATGAATAAAACCCCTCCACCCCCAAATTATAGCTTTTAACCCCTCAGTTTCATTCATCGCTGACTTTTCCCCTATGACTTTTTTTAAAATATCAGGTTAACACCTAAATTCAGAGGCTCAGGCTACTCTTCTCCGTGCTTTATGCATCTGAACTCACCCACTCCTCCCCAAATCCTGTGGGAGCCATCCTCCCTGATAGAGGAGGAAGCCGGGGCACAGAGAGGTGAGCAGCCTGCCCAAGTCACAGGCCAGTAAGTGCTGGCGCTGGGCCCTGTCTAGGCAAGGACGTTTCCGGCTATCCCATTATGTGACCTTACAGCAGGACACAGTCTTGATGTGGCTTTCTTTTCTACTTGATTTAAAAATAAGAATGCTTCTCCCGATCGCGGCATCTTTTCTCCAATTTCCATTAGTGGCATGGTTATCAACGGGAAGCGTGGGTGCCTAGCTTGTGACTCTGGTTTTTTTTATTTTGAGGAAGATTAGCCCTGAGGTAACATCTGCCACCAATCTTCCTCTTTTTGCTGAGGAAGACTGGCCCTGAGCTAACATCCGTGCCCATCTTCCTCTACTTTCTATGTGGTCTGCCTACCACAACATGCCTTGCTGACCGTGCCATGTCTGCAACCGGGAGCTGAACCGGCGAACCCCGGGCCGCTGAGAAGCGAAACGTGCGAATTTAACCGCTGCGCCACCGGGCTGGCCCCTGTGGGTCTGTTTATGAACGGTCTGCATTCACTTTTCTGGTCATAGTTGAGCTATCCTTGGAAGAGATCATTTATCTTCTCACCCCAGAGAGCTAGTCTCGCCTGATGTTTATAATGGTGTAAATATTATAGGAAATCGATCAAAGTGCTTTAAACTAAATACACCAACTGCTTCAATCATCCTTTGACCAAATTCTAAGTGTTAACAGAGCACGGAACTTCCTGAGGACCCACAGAGCGGGCAGGGTCGCACAGGCAGCGGGGACAGCCCCGCCCGACAGACTTTCAGACCCAGAGGTGGGCCAGGAGGACCAATGGTGGGAGTGGAGGTGTGGGAAGGATCAGGTCAGAGGCAATAGCGAGGGCATCCTCAGCAGTGGGCAAAGACTCCAGATGGCAGTGGGTCCTGCAGCCAAGGAGCCCAGAGAGGGAGAGAAGCGAGGCTGGGAGTGGGGAGGAGGAGGAGGCCGAGGACAGAGGGACAGCAGGGCCCACCACAAAGGAAGGGGCTGCAGAAAGAGGGCACAGCAGGACAGAGGGGGCGGTGGTACCTAATCTGGGCATTGGCTTAGCCTCCCGGGAAGGCTGGTCCAGCCCTGCCCTTTGACGCAGCGCTGAGGCTCCATCTCCTCTCCCAGCTTTGGGAAAGCCCCTGATCTGAGAGAGTCCTCCCACAGCTCTCTGACTGGTGGCCCACACCCTTCCTGCTACGGTAACGGAGTGGAGGTTGGTGGTTAGGAGTTGGGAGTTGGGGAGGTTGGTGGGAGGCCTTATGGTGCCTTTGCTCGTCTGGGCTCAGATCCACCTTCTTTCGTCCTCCTGGGCTGTTGACTTACCTGTTCCTGGGAGCCTGGACGTAGCCTCCGCCTCAGTAGGCTTAACCCAGCCCTACCGCTTGCCTGGGAGGCTGGGGGACCCTCTGATCCCCGAGACCTTGGCTTTGGGAAAGCCCCTTATCTGAGAGTTACCTCCCTGGCTTCTGAGCCGAGGCCCCACCTCCTTCCTGCTTAGGCACCAGGGCTACGAGGGCCCTGGGTGGGGGAGGTAGTCTTCCTCAGCCTCAGACTCACCTTCTCTGCCTCTCTCGAGCCCTCCCTCTTGGCATCGCTCACCCCTCTGTGTGGCAGGACCCAACACTGTTGCAAAGGGAAAGAGAAAGTAATGATGCCAGAGAGGGGGGGATGGGTCAGGCGGTGGCTGAAGAGAGCACGACAGAGGCTGGCTCCTCCGGGGAGGGGCAGGCTAGAGCCTTCTCCACACCACCCATGCTCCTAGCCCCAATCTGTGCCCAGCGAGTTGCTCTCCACCTCCCTGTTGAGTGACTGGAGGTGATGAGAAGGTGTGGATCTTGGATCGGGCCTCTTGTGGTTTCTCCCGGCACAGCAGAAGCAAAGGGCAGGTGGGCTTTGAGTTCCTAATCCTGTGCTTGGCCCTCTGCATAAGTCCCCTCAGCCCTCACAGGGCAGAGAAAGAGCCCACATGCAAGAGCGAGCTCTGGTCTCACTTCCTCTTCTTTTTTTGGTGAGGAAGATAGTCCCTGAGCTAGCATCTGTGCCAGTCTTCCCCTGTGTTATATGTGGGTCACCTCCACAGCATGGCTGACAAGGGGTGCAGGTCTATGCATGGGAACCGTACCGGGGCCAGCAAAGCGGAGCAACTGAACTTAACCCGTGTGCCTGGGGCCGGCCCCTCTCTTCCTCTTCATATAAGGCTGCTAATCCCCTCATGGGGGCCCACCCTCATGACCTCATCTAACCTTACTCACCACAAAGGCCCCATCTCCAAACACTGTCACACCAGGGTTAGGGCTTCAGCACAGGAAGTTGGGTGACACGAGTGTTCAGTCCACCACAGCCCGGGACACAGAGGATTCCTTCTGCTGCCTCACGGGCGGTGACGGTTTGCCCCGTCCCCACTGCACGGGGTGGGCTGCTGCCTGGCACCAGAGCAGAGGCTCCAGACCCCACATCTGCCTTCCCGGAGGTCGTGTTTGCTGCCGCCTTGGGAGGCCCAGAACGCAGGGGATTTTTAGCTGGGCCATTGCTGCCCTAAGGATGGAGATCTCCTGGTGGGAATAAAAAGGAGCAAAGGACGTGGGGGCGTCTTCCCAGAAGATTACTTAACAGCAGGTGTTCACGGGAGGAGCGCTCAAGGAAACTGAGGGCCAGCTGTCCCTGCAGCTGCGCCATCTCAGGGGGAGGTGCTGTGGGGAGAGTCACCCTCTGCCCTGGGTGTGATGGACAAACGAAGAACAAGCCATGGGTCCCCCCTGCTGCTCCCCCATCAAGGCTCTTGCCCCATCACCTCTCTTTGCCTGTGTGGATTCCCTTTGATACCGGCCCTGATACCAGTTTCCCTACATTAAACCCAGCATATATGGGGTTAAAACCACAGCACTGGGGCCAGCCTGGTGGCGCAGTGGTTAAGTGGGCATGTTCCACTTCTCAGGAGCCCGGGGTTAGCCGGTTCGGATCCTGGGTGCGGACATGGCACCACTTGGTAAAAGCCATGTTGTGGTAGGTATCTCACATATAAAGTAGAGGAAGATGGGCATGGATGTTAGCTCAGGGCCAGTCTTCCTCAGCAAAAAGAGGAGGATTGGCAGTAGTTAGCTCAGGGCTAATCTTCCTCAAAACACACAAACAAACAAACAAAAAAACCCAAAGCACTCATTCCCTGCTTACTCCCTGGCTTCCTGCCTTCGGAATCCACTATCCTCCATGGAGACAGATACCGCCAAGGACAAGCACCTGGATTCATCATCTCCTCCCCGAAAAGAGATACAGGCTGGTGGGAAAGCTGCTGGCCAGTGAGGTCACAGGCTTCCTCCTCTCTGCAAGTAGTCTCAAGGCCAAATACAGGCTGATGGGAAAGCTCTGACCAGCAAGGCCGTATGCTCCCCCTCCCCTACCTAAAACCCCAAATAAAAACCCTTCCTTTTAGCTTTTCGGGGAGTTTGGGATTTCAGCATTAGCTGCCCTCTCTCCTTGCTCAGCGCTGTGCAGTCATAAAATTCCTACTTTCTTCCACTACCCCCGGTGTCAGAGATTGGCTTGCTGCGCAACGGGTGAGGAACTCACTTCAGGTTCGATATCACCTTGGTTGCCTCCATATCCTTTATTCCATGGCCATGACAGGTGGTGTTTCCATACAGCCACGGAGATGTTCCCCTCTGTACTGTCTCACCTGCAGAGAGAAGGGTGAGGGCCAATGCTCCTTCCAGGCGACCTGAGGGTGGAGGGACCACACGCAGTTCCGAGGGCCCCAGGAAGCAGCTGGGCATTCATGGCCCAGATGCTGTGGACCCTCTCCCCCGATTCACCCTGGTACCCAGAGATTCCTCAGCTCCTCCGAGCGCCCCAGGCCCTCCTCAGGGATACTGGCGCCTGCGTGAGTTGGGGAAAATGGGACCAAATGGTGGATCTCTGGAAGGATCCATCCAAGGAGCTGTAGGGGTCTGGAGCACTCCTGGTTTCAGGGAGGGCAGAAGGCAGAGCCAGCCTGTCTGTTTTGACCCACAGCTGGCGAGCCCCCCACCCCCGCCCCCTGACTGTCTGTGTGTGGCCCAGGCTCCAGGTCACGGTCAGCTCTGAGGGCGGGCTCAGGTCAGGGGCCCTGAGGCAAGGACGGCAGAGCAGCCCCCCAACTCTGAGCAGCCAGAGTCCATGGAGCGAGAAATCAGGAGGAAACCCCTGCGCCTGCCGCCTGCCCAGCCTCTTTTTATGTTGTGTGAATTTCGCCTCAATATATTAAAAAAGAAATAGAGCACATGAATAAACCCAAACCGCTCAGGTAAAAGAATCATTAATTCAATTTTATCCACAACCACGCATGCACACACACGCGGGCATAGCCAACTGTACCAACATGATTTAATGCGTTTTATTTACTTCCCCCTGGTTTATAATGCCACATCTTTTTAAAAAACAAGTATATATATGAAACAATTAGATGTGTGTTTGCCTCTGTGTTTGTGTCCATGTGTATACGTGTGTGTGTATCGCTG